TCCAAAGCCGATGCCATTCAAGAGTCCATCGGCATCACCAACGTCACCATTGACGGACTTAGAGGTAACCTCAAAACCTATGAGTCCACCATTCTATTCCCTTCTTTAGGTGAACAAAAGAAGAAGGGGATTGCACTCAAGGCTACCTCAAGCCAAGAACCCGCCATGGAGGAATCAAGCGATGAGGACAACGAGTTCGGGCTCGTCATCAAAAAGTTCCACAAGTTCATGCGAAAAGAGTATGAACGAAAGGGCAAAAAGCATGGAGGACCACCCAAGTGCTATGGGTGTGGAGAAGTTGGGCACATCAAGTCAAAATGCCCAAATGCCAAAAACAAGATGGAAAAGAAACCGTTCAAGAAGCACCGAGCTTACATTTCATGGGGAGGTGATTCCGGCGATGAGTCATCGGTAGGCGAAGAGAATAAAAGCGCCAACCTTTGCCTCATGGCACACGAGGAACCATCGGAAGAGGTATGTACCACTTCTAAAGATTCCTATACTTTTAATGACGTACAAGAAACCTTTAATGAACTTTATGATGAATATGTCAACGCTTCTAAAATTAACAAGGATTTGAAGAAACAACTTACTTCCATGGAACTATCAAAAGATAATGAAAAACTTAAAGAAGAAAATAAGTTTTTCGGAAGAAGAAGCGCCGACAAACCGGAAAGTTCAAAATGTAGCTCTTGTATATCACTTAAGGATCAAGTTGCAAAACTTGAAGGTACTTTGAAGAAGTTTGGTGTTTCTCATAAATCTTAATGATGTTCTTGACAATTTGCAACTTACTAAACATGGCATAGGTTTTGAAAATGAAACCAATAATAAGGAAAAAGTTGAGCAACCACCTAAACAACCTAAGGCTCAACCTAGGAAAACTAAAATGAACAATAATAGACAACCTACATCAACTAGGAACACTAGACCACCTAGAAAGAACACTAGGATAAACAATGATCAAGTTAGAAAATCTAGAAACCATTTTCCAAATATGCATAAACAAAACTTATCTCAAACTAGGGTCAAGCAATATAGAAAACCTAGTAACTATTATCAACCTAGGAGAATGCATAATCCAAATGTTATTTGCCATTATTGCAATAGGGTAGGACATATAGCCCCAGTTTGTTTCACTAGGCATAAGCATTGCACTCAAAACCAATCACACTACCAGTGTGCACCTAACGCCCAAGGACCCAAAAGGAATTGGGTACCTAAAACTTTTTAAATTGGTTTGTAGGTGTGCTTGAAGGCATCAAGTGTACTTTGGTACCTTGATAGCGGATGCTCCAAGCACATGACTGGAGATGCATCCAAGTTTTTGCAAATCAAACCAACTAAAGGAGGAAACGTTGTCTTTGGCGATAATAGCAAAGGCAAGATAATTGGCATTGGTTCGGTTGGTAAAAACAAAAACTCCTCTATTGATAATGTTTTGTTGGTTAAGGGTCTTAAACATAATCTCTTGAGCATAAGTCAATTGTGTGACAAGGGAAATCGTGTGACCTTCGATTCCAAATCATGTACGGTAGAACGTCTTAGTGACGATAAGATGATTCTTCGTGGTGATAGAATTGATAACATTTACATGGTTAACTTAGATGAATCTCCCTCTGACTTTGCAAAATGTCTCATGAGTAAGGAGGACGATATGTGGCTATGGCATCGTAGAGTAGCTCATGTCAACATGAATCTTTTGAATAAATTGGTTTCACAAGATCTAGTAGTTGGCCTTCCAAAACTCAAGTTTGAGAAAGACACCATTTGTGATTCATGTCAAAAGGGCAAGCAAGTAAGGGCCTCATTTAAATCGAAGAATGTTGTGTCTACAACAAGGCCCCTACAACTTTTGCACATGGATCTCTTTGGACCATCAAGAACAAAAAGTTTTGGGGGAAACTATTTCGCCTTTGTGATTGTTGATGACTACTCTCGATTCACATGGACATTATTTCTAACTCATAAAAGTGAGGCATTTCATGTTTTCAAAACTTTTCTCAAAAAGGTTCAAA